TCAGTTTCATTATTCTCATACCTAATTATTCTGTTTTCTGCACCTGTGCCTTTCTATTTCCTGGACATGGAATGTATTAGAATTGCATGCTATCATACTACACATACTGTTTTTGATAGAATTTTGCACAAATCCGCTGCATATAATTCCATTTTTCACAATGCAATGCACTTGACTTGACTTTCCATTTCAATTTTTTTTTTTTTTTTTTTTTTTTTTTTTTTTTAGTATTTAACTTTTCAATATTTTACAATATTTTCTTCTTGACTCATCATTTGATTGGACTAAACAAACATTTTTATTTTTGAGATGTTAACTGAATTCCATACAGAATTGAACAAGCATGTAATGATCTAATGTTTGCAAAAAAAAGTTAAACAAACAATTTAATTTGTTGTTAATATTTTGTTAATTGCATTGTTTTTATATTTATGTATACACAATCTTTCAACTTAAATTTCTCAACTTATGCATATATTTTTGTATTTTCCATTTTGGTTCTGTGGGGTTCTGATTTATTATACAGAATGTATTTGTTGTGAAATAATTCGTAGAAAGAAGTGTACTTACAGAATACTGTACATGATATAATACTACTGAATTTAAAAAAAATAGTAAGTAAAAGAGTAGCCATTGTTCAGTTTATATACAGTTGTATACAGTTCAATATACAGTATACAAATTAGAACAAAAACTGTGTGGTAAGAGGTATGCAAGTACTCCATTGGGAACACAGCCATGAAACTGCAGAACAGAAGAAAATCCCAATGGCTTTGACCTGCTATTCACTGTTATCAGCACAGGCTGGCGCTGTTCTACCCTGTAATACACTATGAAGTCAGGCTTTACAAATATTCAGACTATGCTGTGCTTATCTAGTGTGACAAATGCGTGATGAATCACAACATCTGCTCTAAGCTCATGTCCAGCACAGAATGAACATAACAGGCCTGCACAGCCTAACCCCAAACACAGAACGAGGGGTATTTAGGATCTTGTCCAACCAGAACAGGTGTTTTCCTATGCAGGCTTACTCATCCACACACATACAGCACTCTATGCTTTGTCTATCCTCCTGATGATATCTAACTAAATCTATGTGTGTGTGTGTGTGTGTGTACCTGGTATTTATCACATAATGGGGACCAAATGTCCCCACAAGGATAGTAATACTAGTAAATTTTGACCTTGTGGGGACATTTTTTGAGGTCCCCATGAGGAAACAAGCTTATAAATCATACAGAATGAGTTTTTTTGAGAAAGTAAAAATGCACAAAGTTTCCTGTAAGGGGTAGGGTTGGTGTAGGGTAATAGCACATACAGTTTGTACAGTATAAAAACCATTACGCCTATGGAATGTCTCCATAAAACATGGAAACACAACATGTGTGTGTGTGTGTGTGTGTGTGTGTGTAAAAACTTTTAAAATGCAAAACAGCTGATGAATTTAGTGACAAAGAAATGACTGCCAAATGGTATTAAGGTGTTACATATTTAAAGGCAAGAAAAAAAAGCTCTGCCCTCTTGTTTACCTGTGTAAATTGGTCAAAATAAAGCATAGTTTACCCAAAAGGTTTTTGTTTTTTTGTTTTACTCTTTGCTTTAATTTCTTAATTTTATTCACTTTTAAACGTTATTTGTGTTTGTTTGTGATCGGAGAAATGACAAACAACAAGCGCTACTCTACACTGCTCAAAACTCGCGTTTGAATCATCAGTGGCAAATCCTTTAAATATGAAAACGTACTTACAGTCTGTGAGTCAGAACAGCCGGCATTGTAGTCTACTCTCCCAGGATCAGGAAACAGTCCTCCATAAAATGTGCTGCACACATCTGAATATTTGGGTTGAAGTGTTCTGGAACAGTGTTGTAAATACAACTTAACCAGTGATTTCTAGTCGTGTCCTCTTTTGGAAGGTCAAACAAAGTAGTTTCGCTTTCACAACAAAACACACAGCGTCACACACTGCGGGCTAGAGTGAGCGGAGGCCGACAGGCTTGAGAATGGCGCGGCTGGCAGATTCGACAAAGGAGCGGCCGGCGGGCTTGAGGCAACCACATGTGACGGTGAAAGCCGATCCGGCGGTCTTCATGACATGGCGGCGGCAGCAACAGTACTACAGAGAGAATAAAAGTTACGCCTTCTTTCTTTGCGTGAACATTTGGGCGGCGTTATGCAAATCTTCCCGAACGAGGCGTTTTAGGTAGG